TGTTACTATTATTATAAACACAGGAGTGCCCGCTACTACCAAGAATAGCAATAATTCTTGAATTTCACTTGAGTTATTTTTATGGTGCTAATGACTCACTGTGACAACACGATGAACAATGTAAGCCTCTTCAAGGGCTTCTCAGCCTCTACTTTGCATAATGGGCTTCAGGCCCCAGTGCAGAGTGGCTACAGAGCCCGTTTTCTTTAGTTCTATCTTCATACTCCTACATGTTCAGGTGGATCATGCTGAGGTGCTCTGCGTGTTTGGACCCCAGGTCTGGATATTGCGGACCACCATCAGGGATCACACTCCTGTGTATTACGGCTATGAGGTACTTAGGAAGAGAACTTGGTCATCTCTTCAACTGACCGTCCTGCAATGAAAGCCAGGTGTGAATCACTTATGACACATAAGAACCAGTATTTTAGTTAGGAACATTGCTTTGGGATCAAGTTGCCTGAGGTTGAGTCTCAGCTGTGTCACTTAAAAGCCAAATATGTCAACCCTCTGAAACTCAGTTTTCTCTTTTGCAAGATGATAATCCCTACCGAATATGGATGTATCGAAGGCAAGTGATTGAATTCACTTAGCATAGTGTGTTAAAAAGTAAATTACAAACATAAAATGCCCTGTATCAGTAGTGACTTTATCTATGCCATCTCACCAGTCCTAACAGCAATTTTAGCCTCTCAGGCACTCCTATCAAAGTTCAGGGAGGTTTTGTAATTTTTTTCTCAAGGTTACACAGATGAGAAATGAAAGAATTGTGTGACTCTTTTATCTCTCCAAGATATTCCAATCCTTTTTCCATATACTTCCAATTTTTCACATATTAAAAAGAAATGACATTTTCTCTCCCCTCACCACATAGAACCTCTATTCTTTTAACCAAACAATATATCTAATTTGTCCATGGCCAAGTGGAGCAACTTGAGCCCTGAGCTTGTGTGATGTATGACTATTTTCTCTTACTGGAGAACATAGAAGAATGATCATGGGTTAGTTTACTCATTCAAACCAGAAGTAAATCCTTAGAGTACACTCTTTGATATCCCCCATAAAATGCATAGATGTGAAAGGAGACACATAATCATTCTATTTTTTTTTTTGCTATATCACCAAATATCTGAAGACATTGAAACATGTATTTACTCAAGAAGAAGAATATTTCTGGAAGAAAACATTATATTTTTTATCTTCCACTCAAGTGTTGCAGCAGAATGTAGACAAAACTATGGTCTTTAAAAACATTAAGACTTTAATTTTAAGCTGAAGGACATAATGCAGACAAACTTTGTGTTGTCCTTAGCAGAGCACAGGCTTTCTGTTCTATCAAGGTAGTATCTCCTTTCCCCATGATACTAAGGATCCCTGAAATGTATTCACCAACAGATAGAAACCAGCATCAATTTGACTTTGTGCTTTACTGCACTCTTAGTTTTGTGAATATTAATAGAAATTTCTTTGTTGGATGCCTGGCTGCTTAAATTCATCTGCCATTCTTTGGTTGAAATCATTCAGGCAGTTAATATAAAGCATGTATCCCTGCAATAGGGGCCAGGTGGAGGTCATATACATGCTGGCAGTGTGTGTGTGTGTGTGTGTGTGTGTGTGTGTGTGTGTGTGTGTGTGAAACTAAAGATCAAACTTATGGAATTCTGTACCAAAGAGGTGGTAAAATATAACTCAGGTGAATAGAGTGGCAACTGCTTTTCATTTGTGTTTGATAAACCTCAGTTCTAAGATTGAACTAACACCTTTCCTGTGGAGTGTCACCCACTAACCCTGTGCTGTGAGCATGTTACAGGGGTCTCATTTAGGTTCTTTGCATCTGTAACATGAGATGAGGTGCTACCAGGAAGCTCTCTAGAGACCATAGTTTCGCAGGTCTGAGTAAGGAAATCAGATATCCCATTGCAATCACTGTGAAGCCATAGACTAACTTCTTAATCTGTCTGGGTCTTTGCTTCACTATTTATAAGTTGAAAATAAGATGTAAAGTTGTTGGAGGAAGTGTGAATAACAAGTTATCAATATTAGTTTTAGAGGTAGTGAGGCTAAACTGAAGTACTTCAGAGAGATCATCAAAGCTAAAAATAAGAAATCCAAAATAGTGTTGTATCAGAAGGATTAAAAGCATCTATTTTCTACGTCCAGGATCCAGATCAGTTTTCCTGGAGCTAAGAGTTCTTCATGAGAGATGAGAATGTTGTAAGTAAAGAAGATCATTGTGTCAGGCTTGGATTTGAAATCCAGCTTGACTGTTAACTAGTTGATTGTTCTTGGTAGCACTGCTGAATTTCACTAAATCTGCTTTATCATCTGAGAATGATAATTGCGCACTTTATAAGTTCTCAATAAAACCTAACAAAGTAAAATACATGTGCTTAATAAGTGTAACAATGAAGGACCCAGATAAACCTTTTCAAAGATTTTCTCTTAATCCTCAGAGAAGCAGCATATACTTATTATATTTAAGGATTTCTTGAAAGTTCTTGCCCTTTGGCTAGCTGTACTTGATTGCAGCATGCAAGGCTGAATTTCTGGAATGTCTCTTATGTTGCTTTCTGTCAAGATTTTAGTTTGCTTCTTTGTGAAGAACAGATAAGAAAATAATGCCCTTCCTTTGGTTAGATCTAGATGTATTATCTCTGAACACAGAATACAAATAGAGCTCTCAAACAGAGGAAGACCAGCTCGTATGGCATACACCATGACAGCTCTGAGGTTTTCCCATGAACAAAGACCTTAAAGACCTCGGTTGTTCCCTCAGTTTCCAATCACTGTATAATGCAAATGTCTTTTGGTGACACATATTAAAATACTAACCATGTGTTATGCAAACTGGTACTTTCCCCTCCAAAAACTCAGCAATTTGCATCAGACACCTTAAAGTGATATTTGATGTAGAAGTCAATTTATAAATATTAACATGTAAACATAGACTGACAAATGGCAGTCATCAAAATATGTTGTGTTACAGACTTATATATAAAACTCATTCAGACAAAATCATTTACATTTTCTGTGAAATGGCCTGCCTTTTGGCTATTCACAATTACATTTTAAGAACATTTATGACATAGAGCAATAGTCATGATGTAATCATAAGAAACAAAAAAATAAACTTTGCTGTGGAATGCAATTCTAATTACATGTGAGTGTGAATAATAGAAGGCAAAACTACCTCTGAGGTGAACAGTGATTCTCTTTTGTGGTACATTGGTTTGCTATCATTTGTGATTAATTTGTCATGTAAAACACACTCAAATGAGCAGGAAAAATATTTTAACTGTTATTATGAAATTTCTTTGCTTCATGTGGTTTCTTTTTTTAACTGAGTTTATTGGTACATTTTAGGTATACAGTACAGTTACATTCATTATTGGGATCCTGTACCTCTACATGACAGGTCTTGGTTCTCATTTTTTTCCCCTTGTTCCTTCCCTCCTTTCACCCCCTCCTCCTCTTCCCCTTTACAAACACTTTATTTCCATTTTTTCTTTTTCTCATATTTTTTCTTTTCCCTTATTACCTTTCCCCTACCCTTCCCACTTTCCCTATACCTTTAGCCCTTTTCTTCCTATTTCACATTATCAATTATCTCATTAGGATCTTATGTACTATTATATTTTTTCACACCAGAGAAACTATTTGGTATTTACACATGTGTGACTTATTTATTTCACTTAGAAGTATATCCTCAATATGTATCCATTTTCCTATGAATGACTCTAATTTATCATTCTTTATGGCTAAGTAGTATTCCATTTTATAGAAAAACCCATGTGGTTTCTTTTGCTTGTGGGTGGACTGGCTTGGCAGGACTGCCCACGAAAGCTCATGTGTTACTCTCTGTGTTGGTCAGCTTTTCCAACACTGGGGCAAAACCCTGACATCCACAATTTAAAGGAGCAGAGTTTTCATTTGGCTCATGGTTGCAGAGGTTTGGGCCTGGGGTTAGCTGGCTCCAAAGCTGAAAGGCCATGGTAGAAGGGCATGGCAGAGCAGAGTTATTCACCTCACAGCTTGTGGGAAGCAGAGAGCAGGGAAAGAGCCCAAGATGAAGGGGCAAAAGTCATGCCCCAGGACCCACCCAGACATAGCCAAACGTGTTCTTTTTTAGTCTCCTTGGCTTCTTTCACACCAATCAAGTTATCAATTAATACGAACCACCACATTGTTTAATGTGAGCCTGGGCGCCTCTTCCTGCTGGTGAGTGGTTGCTGGCTGGTAGAATCCCTGGCTGGTGGTCATGGACACCCACTCTGTCCTGCAAAGGAGAGATTCAGATATAACATCTGGATGTGGCTCCACTGTAGCAGAAGCTTGTGTTTGTGAAAGTTACTGGGTAAAGCCTACCTTTTACTAGGTGTCTGTGCTACGTGGAGCAGCAGGTGCTTTAAATGTCTCAGTTCATATGATCTTGAGGTTCAGAACCAGAGCCAGCATTAGGAGGAGGCAGGCAAGATGCTTAGGGTGCAAAATGTAAGGATATTGTTGGGGTCTCTCTTGTTTCCTTAATAGTTATACCATAGCCACCTCCTTTGTTCCACTCTAGACTTGACTCTCAAGGAAGGGCCTCTCAAAACCATGAAATTGGCAAGAGGTTGAGTTTAGGGTCAATTCCAATCCAAGGAATGAATTCGTAGCCCTGTGTTTTCTTCAGTATATCAATCTGTGGGATTTGAAAGCTCGGTGTATTACTCATGACACCAGACACTTATTTATGCTTGTGCAAACACCATGATACCATAGATTTTTAATATATATTTAGAGGAATAATAGTGGATGACTCATCAAACAGCAGGTACTATGATCCAATATGAAACTTTCCCCTATTTCAAAGGTGAGCACTGTCCAAAAAAATCTGGACAGAACCTGGCATATAGGGCAATGGATTATGAGTCACAAATGGTTGTCCCAGCAGCTCCTGGATTCTATCCTTGTCACTGGCAGTGATGGCTAATGTAATTAGACATCACAACTTCTCTAGCTGAGCTAAGTTCTAGGTCACAGATAGTCCCACTGGGTAGCCAGTTAGCGGTTCACCACGGGGCCAAATCACTGTGTGGCAAGAATGGAGCAGAGAAGGCTTCGAATCAGTTTTGCTTTATGATAAAAATATAATCATATGAGCAGCACCTCTCAGTGCCTGTGTAAGGAGCACCATTGTCTCCATCCAGTTTGGAAAGATGTGCTAAAGCCTGACAGAGCACAGCCCAGCCTCTCTGCCAGCTCTAATTCATAGTCCCTGAGGGTACTTTACAGTAATGGGATCATTTTGCAGGCCCCAAGTAGTAGATGGCTTCTTTTTTCCACAGGTCCCCGAGTAGAGATATAGCCAAAGTATCTGTCCAGAAACATCATCATCAAAAGGCAAAGAGACAAAAACAACCCCCAACGAAACAAAATAACATCAACAACAACCAAACATCAACCCACAGCGTTTCTTCAGTTGCTCATGCATTTAGGTGACATTTATGAAGCAGCGTGTGTCAAGTATGTAGCGAGACCTTCCTGTCTATAACTGCAGTGTAGGCCGATGTGCCTACATCCATTATGATTATTCGTCATCCTTCTTTAAGTGATGAGGAAACAGAAATTTACTGGGATTACATGTTTTCTGTAACATTGTAGCTGGTAAATATTGAAATCAATGTTCCAAATTGCATTTGGTGAGATATTTTTTATTGCTTCCTTCTAAATTCTTGTAAAAGAGAATTGAATTTAATTGAATTAAAGCCTGGTGCATACAAGTGATTAATCCATGCTGCTGAATGAATGGCTAGTGACTATATTTATACCTAGTATCCATAAATTTAATATATGTTGTGCTGAGGGAGATGCTTCAGTAGGAAGATGACAGTTAACAAGGTCATTTTCTGATATGGAAAATACATAAATGTGTGCATGCCTCTTGCATTTAATTTTCCCACTGCTACTGAACTGGATATTTACCAGTCGTCAGAGAGCCATTGAGCATTGTTATCTGAAAGTGCCATAGCATCTTGGCTGCCTGCAGTGCAGAACGAAGAGGGGCAATTAGTCCCCCTGGAAAATAGCTCCTATCTCCCTAGTAATGGAAAATGCTCAGGCAGCCAGAGAAATCACCCTCCTGACACTCACTTGCTCTGTGAGTTTTGATAACCTGACCCTTGGTTTCCTGGCCTGGAAAGTGAAACGGCTAGGACTGTAACCTTTCTCTGATTATATTCACTGTTGAAATCAAGTACACTCTTTTATACCCTAATATGTAGAGTTTAGTAAGAAGTACCATGGTCTTGTCCTAGCCTTTGTAGACTATAAGACTATCTGTTGGTTAAAAAGAGACAGAAGGGGCTTGATTTTTGACCCAGTAGCCATTTACTGCACAGTGCAAAGTTTAATTGAGGCATGATGTTTATATCATTAGCTACCTTCAGAAGATGCCAACTTGGAATATTCTTTGTTGATAGTCTATCATGAAATGATATTGTCCTTCCTCTGTTCAAGCTGTTAACAATCTTAACTTGCCTCCTCCTGGTTTTGATACACAATACATTTTAATGGCCTAATGGACTGGTTAGTCTCTAACCACCGTGGGCGTCTCCACTGACGTCCCTCGTAGGACGGTGTCTTCACATCTTCTACCTCTTTATTCTAGAATATTCTGAGTCCCACATACTTCATATGCATGGCTTTCTTCACACATCTAAATTCTTCAAATGGCCACTAAATTGTTCTTTTTTCCTTAGAAGTTTGAGCATTTAATCAGCTTCTTACCTGACCATCTCGTTATAACCAAGCTATTTGTACAGAGGGGCTGTGTTGGTTAAAATGCACTTGTCTTTTCATTAAAATTATTTTTCTTGAGACACATTCGCAGTCCCTAATTACACTCATTGTGGGAAGTCAGTACATGCACATAATGAATCTTAACTCTTTATCATCTTCGCCTCCCCTCCTTTCTCACCTCCTTCCCTCCATCTCTTGGTCTATTTTCCATTTGCAAAAGTTCTCTCTCTATCTGTTTCCTATTACCCCTGACTTACTTGGCTCTGATTTATTTGCAGTTTGGACTTCTCATGTAAGAGAAATCATGAGATATTTCAGCTGTGTCCCTTTAGATGGTGAAAGGTGTTGCTCCACATGGTTAATCCTCAATTCTCAGCACTTTCCCGTGCATGTAGTGGGCCATTATTCATTGTCTCACTTCATGACTGTGGACGACTACGGATACACAGAACTGTTTCAGACTTAGGTCTGTTCACTAAACTGTGATGTGTGCTCCACAATGAAGGTGTAGCAATAGACTTGACGTCAGGAATTGAGGATATTATAATCTGCCACTAGCAAGCAAATTCCAACTAGACAGTGAGTGTTGGTCCTTAGATTTCTCTTTTCTTTCCTGGTGAAGGATAATTACTACCTTCCTAGGGTTTTTCCTAGGACATATGAAATTATAGACTCTTAAAAATATGAAAGCCCTGTAGGAATCATAGACATTGCTACTATTTTTCATTTCCAATGGATAACTGTTGTCCTGATTGGTTTAGAAAAGCAGTTCATACAGGGCACCCTGCTGGAGTAGGGACAATGATGATCTTATTAATATATTAAGTGTGTGTCAGGTTTCTGAGTGTTCCAAAATCACCATAATCATATAGTAATTATTCACTACTTTTTTCTAAGTTTCATAAATACTTTACTTTCTTCTGTATTTTCATTCATGTGTTTCTAGCATGTTATATAGCTTTGCTGCAAAGAAAATTCCCCTTTTAAAAAATTTGTAGTTTTGTGTTTTTTAATATTTTTCTGAATATTTATTATTAAGTTAATATCTAGGGTAATTGATTTTATTTTATTTTATTTTATTTTTATTTTTTTTTGTACCAGAGATGAAACTCGGGACCTTGTGCTTGTGAAGCAGGTGGCAGCATCACCCTGAGCTAAATCCCCAGCCCTAGAAAATTTCCCTTTTAAATGAATGATTAGTTACTACACAATTAGAAATTTAAAAATGGTAGCCAGAGCAGAATTCTTCTACATTATGAATTAAGAGTGATATTTAATTACATTCCACATCGAAACAAAGGATTGAATAGTCTTATCTTGTTGATAGCATTATTAGCATTAAAAGAAAAGAATTAATAAATCAGTTTGTCATGGTAAAATCTCTTTTTCTTTATAACAAATTTGAAGAATGCATGAAGTGTTGAATATTGGGCCCTTTTGTTTTTGAAGCAAAGTTAGACACTCATATTCACAGGCATTCAAAAATAATAAATTTACTGAGAAAAAAATACAAATCAAATATCAGTAAAATAAGAATTTTTATTAAGCCACTGAATTATAGTTTCCTTTTGAAAAAGAGGGGCAAAGATAATTGTGATACATCTTGAGAAATTATTACTGAAATTGAATTTGTTTCTATCACTTTCTGGGTGGATGTTTTGCTGGAGGTTTGTGCCTCTTCCAGGTTTCCTTCATTTTTCTTTTTCCTTCACTAAGAAAAATCTGCCTGAGAATGTACGCAGTCAATTCTGAAGTCTAAGTTTTAACTTCTGGTCTGCTTTTTGTCTAGGTGCAAAACCAGAAACACATTACTTAATACTACACTTTTGAAATTTAACTTCCTCTTCTGGAAAAGCAGAATGAAATTAGGATCTGTCTCACGGGGGTTTAAGAAGATAATAGGTGATTAAATATGTGAAACACCTGGCACATAATTTGAAACGCAGTGTGTACTTGATAAACACTTATATCTTTCAACTAAACATTGTATCACCCTCTAAAAATATTGTAAGGAATTAGAGTTTAAACGTTTCCTACCCTCATTCTCTTGGCTCCACTTAAAACCACAACTTTTGTGGGTGACCTTTCCCTAAACTATATTATTGCTGGCAAGCAAAGATTTAATTAAAAATTAAAGTCGGGAAAGTCTCTTCTGGGATTCAAATGCTCCTGCCCTCCTCAGCATAAAGTGCTGGCTTTTTGACAAGAGTATTGATGAAAAGAATTTGTTCTTACTGCTAGAACAAGCCAGTTAGGGCAATTCTTCAAGAGCTGAGCTGTAGCCTTTTATTCATGATTAGATGTTTTGGTTTTACAGTTCTTACTTTGAAATGTACATTTTTTGGACTGAAAAAAAAATAGACAAAGAAAAGGATCATTTGGGGATTTAGGGACATTTCCATTTCCTTGGGACCTGTTATCTGACTACATTTGAAGAGTCCACTAAATTCTCCAATTGCTTTTCTGACCCTGAAATCTTAAATGTGTAGTGACCAATTAAGGCCTCTCTTTTTCCAGACATTTTTTTATAGACACTTCCAGCATGAGTCTCTGATCACATTTCCAAGTTCTCTACTGCAAATCACCTCCTCCCATGTTTTAGAGTGGGTACCATCTGCCTTTCAATGAGAGATTCTTAGGAACCTGGTAAGGGTTGTGTGGGTCTGGTCCAGAAAGCTAGAGGTCTAAACCACTGTGATTTTCTAGAGAGCCAAGGCTGGCTCATTTACTGTATTTGCTGGTTGAAAAACCTCTCTCTATAGTCCCTGAGAGCTAGTAACAGTTTATGAATCCTTATTTATTTTGCTTTTATTTTTAGGCTCTATTCATGATTTGTGCCTCATCTTCTGCGATCTGAGATGGAATTCTCTGTGATGCTTCTTTTTCTAGTTTTCTGGTGTGTGGTAGAAGTTAAGTGGGAACAGAAGGTGTAAATACACCAGGTGGAGTGTCCTAAAGTATGACTGTTGACCTATTAACACACTCAAATATTAACTTCCTTTTTAATCTAACACCTACTGCTGAGGCAACATTATTATTAATTATCTCAACACTAAAAATAGATTTTCAGAGAATGAATGAGATTTTCTAGGCAGAGAAACTTCTCAGGTCCTTATCTTTTAACAGTATCAAGACAGAGTGTGTTGAGATAATTATATCTAGAGATAGAACTTCAGAAATTACTCAGTTTTCTGAGGCTTGCTTCATGGCTTATTATAGCTTTTCCCTTTAAATATTTGCAGAAACATTTACTTTTTGATTTACATGAGTGTTATACAGTGGATCCTCGAGTGACAACCAGCCTGACAAATGAACAGCTTGGGTTATGACTGCAATTTTAGCTTTAACTTAGGACCGAAGTGTTGAGTTATGACCCAAAAGCCAGCCACTTGTTCTTCCAAATGGTCTCAGATACAGATTTAACCCCTAAAGAGTTTTGGAAGGGATATTACAGCATTCTTTCCTGTGTGGGGTTAACTGTTAAGTCCTGAGCCATTGAGTGTCGAAGGACACTGAGATCTTCCTGAAAGCAAATGTAGATAAAATCATATAGGAGAGGGACTGTGAAGGCTGTGTAGAGGCCCTGAACATTCAATTGGCCAACTTGAGTTACGACCAGTCCTTGTGAACAAATTGACTTTGTAAGTCAAGAGTCCACTGTACTTTAAGATAAAGGTGATTTTTCTCTCCTTTTTCATTTATTCTGATTGGTTCATGTTAGAGATATATAATGATAGCATTCATCATAAGGAATTTGTACAGGTACATGATACATCTTGCTTCTCTTTTTTTCATCCCCTCCCAACTTCTCTTTTGCTCTTTCTTTACAAAACCTTTATTTGGATTTTTTCCTCTATTCTCTTTTATTTCTTGTTCCTTCCGTCCTTTCCCCTGCCCCTTCCATTGTTCCCTTTCTCATCTGAACATTTTATTCCCATTTTAAATATCTGTCAATCATTCACTTTGGTGTGGAAATCAGTGTAGAGATTCCACAAAAAACTAAAGCAAGGGGGTTCATTTGATCTAGCAGTTCTCCTTCTTGGTGTCTTCCCAGAAGAATTAAAAGCATCGTACCACAGCCATGTATGTATACCCATGTTTATAGTGGTATAGTTTGTAATAGCTAAATCCTGGAGACAGTTCAAATATCCATCAACAATGAATGGATAAAAAGGTGGGCTTTTTAAAACAATGGAGTACTACTCTGTCATAAAGAAAGATAAGTATGAGACAGTTCTAGCTAAACTGATGCACCCTGAGGCCATATTCTTGAGTGAAATAAATTAGACACACATGCTTAAATACAGCATTGTTTCTCTGGTGTGAGAAACCAAAATGTAAAGAAAAGTGTACATTTTTTTCACAGGACATATGTTGTACTACCACTCGGTTAGAAAATAAAACTCATCTTCTGTAATACTGTAGTCTTTTCTGAATGGCAGCTAAAGCCTTGTGTTGAGAAGGATCCTGAGACTCAATTTTGAGATAGACTCTTACTCATAATCAAGATATTAAACCGATATAAACATGAGACTTTCACAAATGCCCAGTCTCTGCTAACATAATGTAGTTCCCATGCACCATAGATTCTTTAAAAAATGTGTCATAATGAGTATTTTTGTATAATTTTTCCATTTCTCAGATCAACAAGCCAAAGTTCCAAATTAGAGTCACATGTTTCATGCAGTATGGAAAATCTCAAATCCAGTGTTTTCTCCATTTGTACTATAGCTTTTGATTTTCAAAAATACCTCTTCAGTGATATTGCAACACTCATTTATCTTGCTCTCTGACTAATCTGTCTTGTCTACTCCCTCTTGCCTCTGGTCTAATCATCAGAGTTGTATGTTTGGGACACATTGGAGCATTATCGACTTTGGAATTCTCCACTGCCTACCTATTGCTGACCTTATGTAATGATGTGTAAAGCGCCCGTCACCAACTTTTGTCCATCACTTTTACCTCAGTTATCGCTTCATGCATTTAATTTTATGTTTTATCTTTATTAAATTTACTGTTACATTTTAGGTAATTCAATAGAGTTACATTCGTCATTGGGATCTTGTACCTTTACATGATTTATTTTGTTTCTTATTTTCCCCATTCCCCAACCCTTCCTTCAACCCCTCCATCCTTCCCTGTTTACAAAGATATTGTTTCCATGTTTTTCCTTTTCGTGTATTTTTTCTTTTCCCTTTTTACTTTTCCTCTACATTCATTTAATATGACAATAGGCAGACAACCATTTGCAGATCTTCAAACATTTCAAAATATCAAATTGCGTGGAGGGACTGAAAGACAAGCTCTGATTTCAGATCTTTCATATACTAGCATTGAGACAGTTTAGCTATAAATCGGGAAGGACACTATATACCACAGTGTGTTACTCTAGAGATTGTAATAACAATGAAATAGACTAGTATGTCAGATATCTGTATCTAGTGAAAAAACTAAGGATTCTAATAACTAATACTTGATAAATATGAATGGTCTTTCCATGTTTTCTTGTTTCCCTGACTAGTTACAATTTCTAGTTCTTGTGGTTTTTAACAATGTCAGTTACATGGCTGGTTAAATAAAAAGAACAAGAAAAAGAGAAGCTGACAACTTTTGTGTGCAGGTTAACACAAAAGTCCAATGTACAATGACACATTAGACATGTTTAAATAAGGAATTCAACCTATTCAGAATTTATTCTCACCAAGTGATTGGGTTTAGAATGGAGTATTAATTTGAATAGACATTTGTTAGTATATCTCAAAAAAGTGGAGTTTTGTGTGTTACATGAATGTGGGTCTTTAGAAACCCAACACACTCACACACACACACACACACACACACACATACTATAAAAATCATAATCTGACTCCTGTTTGATAAAACAAAATTCCTTCCCAACAAATCAATGGTGCTGTTTTTATCCTTGCATTACTCACATCTTCAGATGCATTTATTTGTTCGTAGGAGGTCTATAAATGCGTGGTGAACTGATTTCTTCACTGACTACTCAAAACCATAACAATGGGGATGATAGGAAACCAGTTGTGGTGGAGACCTCTGAATCCTGAAATTCCTCCTACGAAATACATATGTGATGAAACAAGGTGCCCAGAAGTGATAATTCCTGAGATATTTTGTTTAGAATATGTCATTTACCCTCATTTTAGCAGCAGACTGTTCCAATATTTTAGCTTTCTTCATTTTCTCACAACGAGGTATCACTTGTTATTTTCCTCCAGAAGGTAGAAGTGCATTTTAATGGCAGAAACCATTATGGGAAGTAAAGTAATATAGCCATTATTAAACATTTATTAAGGTCCAGCTGTGTGGGAACCACTGATGCTTTTTAAAAATAACTTTCTCACCATAACACTTGCACTATAACCTAACGTACTTTTCATTTAATTTTTTAATCTGTATAGGAAATTATAATTGTCAAGTTTTTGCAACTCCCATGGTGGCCAGAGTGGAGAGAAATGAAAAGATTAAAGTGATATTTTATAAATTTTAAGGGTTCATTCTCTGTAGGGGTCACACTGATAACCAAATAGCAATATTATCCACCTACTCGACTCCTCCAAACTCTGCGCTGGTTGGACGTAAACTGAAGCTCTTCAAAGCCTGACATAGCCTTGAATCTGGTGTGGGAAGCTCACTTCAATGGGTTAATGTTAGAGACATGGATAGTTACTACTTCAGTGTTATCGGTGATGAGTAAGGATAGAAATTCTCATTGGTGTTAAGTAGTACATTGCAGTTATGAGCATTACATGGACAGGAACTTTCGAGTACATCTTTGGTTTATGTCTGTCCTGTTCCATTGGCAGGTGTCGCATTTGCTTTTTAATGGGCTGCCTTGCATGCTTCTGGCATACACACTGGCTGACCTCATCGGTTTATCCACACAGACAGGTGTGGATGGTGACTATCTGACTCAAACAGGTTCTTCCAGGGAGCTAGGGGTCTATATGGACGTATATACTGACATTTCTTTTCTTTCTGTATTACAGAGATGCATTGAATAGATAGACATGGAAAAGTGAAAGCAAGGAAGAAGAATTGAGAAGATAAAGATGCCGCCGCTGATGGTAGCATCTTAGGCATGACTGTGAATTCTGTTGTTTATATCCAAGAATCAATAAAACTAAGGACAAATAAAACTGATCCTTAATGCTTACAAATTTAAACAATTTTAACAAATTTAAATTTAAAAATTATAATTCAAGATTGCTGTGATTAAAAAAATCATGTCAAATGACACACTCAACATTTGGTAACTAAGTTTATAATTTTTTTTAATTTAACCAACTCATACATTAGCACTATTATTATTTTTATTATGTTGTAGATGAAGAAGCAAGACCATGGAAAGGGGAAGTAAATTGTTCAGTAAGATGTGCTCAGCTACTAAGTGACAGATTGTCAGAACTTGAGCTCATGTGGATAGGCCAAACCCTAGTGCCGGGTCTGACCTCAGAACTATCTGACTTAGAGCACTCAGTCCCCCGTGTGCAGAATGGTTCTTCGAAACTCTCTGAGAGAATAAATTCACAAATGTAAAGCCAAACAAGGTTAGTTAGATTCGTTTTAAAAATACATTATAAAAGCATTTACACCTGTTAATAATAATATTTGATGCTATATTATGATTTTTCTTATAAGGTCCTTGTAAAGTCGCAGATATTTAAGACCGTCTTTCTCTTTAGCTTCAATATGCCCAAATATGTCTTATTTTGTCATAGATAATAAAACTACTGAGAAGCGTCTGGGGTATGAGTCACCATTAAAAGATGTAATTCATTTCTAGTTTTCTGTGCCAGCTGAAGGAGTTCTGATACTAACATTCCTTTCATTTTTTTTTCTTTCTTGAGACTTTCCAAACTAAAATCTGTTAAACTTTCTATTTCTCTCCCTTTTCTATTCCTAAACTCCAGTTTTCCAGTGGTGGGCATTTACACACATAGAGCTTACATTTAGGAAGGGGTTTTAGCAAATTTTTGCATAAGCATTTTTTGGCAGTTTCATGTACCTTATGGCCTATAAAAGAAAGTTGGTGTCTTCCCAACATCCGAATGGAAGGCTAAGAAAGCCACACAGAGATGCTAGTGATTAAAAGATAAGAAAGATCAACCAAGACTGGTCATCTTAGTTGGGTAGAAGTAGAGATTGAATAGGCTTCACACCATGGATTTCCACAAGGAACAATCAGAGAATTGAAACCTGTGGCCCAGGACTTTCTCAAAGATAGGCCTCAGGATTGGCCACAGATGATCAAATTTTGGATATGTAGTCCTTTGAGATACAGGAAAAGCGTGTGGAATTATGAGGGTTGCATGAGTGGTGTTCCAAATGTGGGTAGTGCCCCCTCATCCCAAATGTGGCCTTCAAAAAATGTCATCCTGGCTGTCCTTTCTCAAACAGAGTTTATCATTTCAGATATTTCACTTAGTCTAGGCCTAGAAGTTGCTGGTGCAAATTTGTGTTCAAAGGCTAAAAAACCCAGAGTCTGATGTCCAAGGCTGACAAGAGCAGAAAATTTTACCCACTTGGGAAAAGAGAGCAAATCTCAGATGTTGTTGAAATTTACTTCCTTGTGTCAAGTAAAGATCTTGAAATTTTCATGGTGAGGATGTGGTGGCGGGAGGAGCCCTCTCATACCTAGTTCACTGTAGTTAGCAGCCACTAGCTCTTAGATTTTGACTTGAAGATGGCAACTTAGGCACCAGTCTCTGAGATGCTCCGTGACTTCTTATTTTTGAGGAGTGATGCATAACCCTCTAATTTTCAATACATACAAGTTCCTGCCCATTTCCAAATATCTAGTCTAGCTCTCCAACTTGATGCACTTTAGGCTTCTTTTGCCCACACACACTACTTAAATACTCTTTGACTCCTCTCTCTCTCTCTCTCTCTCTGACTGTGAAATGATTCTGATTTTTTTTGTAGCCACTCATAAATCATGAAGGTGTGAGGGGGGCAAGAATCTATGTCTACAAGAGGGAAGCCAAATGATGATAATAGCTACCTCAAACACAACTAATTTAGCAATAAGCTCAATGTGGGAAGGGAAGAAGCTCTCAAAGCCACAGTTGCTGCTCCTGATGGTGTCATAGCCACGCGCTTTGCTGTACGAGGTATGAGGACAGAGGAAAGTGCAAGCCCTTCTCGGCCCTGAGACTCCCTGTCGATAATAAAAATAACACCAGGCCAGTCCAGACCACCAAAACTGTGGTCCAAGTTGAGATATCATTCTCTGAGAAGAGAAAGAGGGGAAAAGTTATTCAGGAGACTAAAAAAGATGTAGGGTTAGCAGGTCAAGAAGCAGTTGGGAAGGCAGTGAAGCCCGGATGTACAGGAGACTCGGCCCCAGGGAAACACTGTCCAAGGAGTTGGCAGAGTGTTCCTGGATGAAAAGAAGCCTTTTGGCAGATTTTGTCTACATTAGCATATATTATCATTTTCTTATTATGATGTTAATGTTTGTGTATCAAATGGACTAGATGGAAGGGTGCCTAGAGACTTGTAAAGCCTTACTTCTGAGTATGTCTGCGCTGCTATTTCCAGAGAAGACTGGCATGTGGGTGAGAAAATTGGTCGGAACTAAAAGACAAAAGGGGAGAAGCCTCCTTGGCACAGTCTCCCTTCCCAAGTGGGTGAATTTTTCTACTACCTTCACCCTTGGATATTGGACTCCAAGTTCTTCAGGCCTTTGGATCAGCAGATCTCCAGGAGGATTTCAGGCCTCAGCCTGTCTCCTCAGTTTTTCTCTGGTCCTGAAGTCTCAAGCTTCTTGGACTGAGCAACTACCGGTTCTCTTTGTTCTCTAGCCTGCAGACGGCCAATGGGGAAGTTCTCAGCCTCTCTGATCATGTGAGCCAATGAAAAAAATACACTGTATTAGGATTCTCCAGAGGAATATAGATTTTTTTTCTTCTGGAGAATTCTAATACACTCCCTCTCTTCATGAGGGCAATATACTTATTTAGCTTGGTCTTCAGAATGTGAACTCTTTTGACTAATGGAATTTGATCAATCATTATACATGTCATAGCCAAGAGGAAGTGTTAAATGTAAGTGTATTTGCATGTGTGCACAAAAGTGTGTGTGTGTGTGTGTGTGTGTGTGTGTGGCTTGACTTGGCTTCTTGCATGTCTATCTCCCCCCATTGAAAGATCATGCCCTAAATCTATTGAGCATCTTTAGCCAGAGTATTAAAATTACACAGATGGAATATGCTGGGAGTCAAGCACAGCCTACCTACAGATATATTAGTAAATATTTGTCAGCTACTGAGATTTTAGGGACTGATGGTTATATATCATTATTTGAGCAAAAGCTGAGGAATACAAGCATTTAGCTTGAAATAAACAATTGGCTTCATTCAAAGCATTTTGTCTGTGCCTACTTTGCTCCAAATGATACTCTAGCCACTAAGAATTAGATCAGTGAACAACATAGTCTCTATCCTCGGAGTTTGCATTTAGTAAGAGACTATATATGTACATAACATTATGTATACGTGTACATACATAGAAAATCTTATCCATGAGAATGTTATATTCTGTAAGATCTTCAAGAAAGGTGTCTTTAACAAGAGTGTATCTCAGTAGAAAGTTGAAAGGTATGGGAAAGTTAGGTGTGATAATCTACAGGGTTGTTTTCTAGGCAGAAGGACCCCTAATCGTCTGGAGGGAGGCCTCAAGGGACAGAGAAGGGATGTATTCTAAGAAAAGGACAACATATAGCTTCATGCAACCTGTTGCCTATATGTTTTTCTTTCATCTACTCCACAGCTGGAAATATTGAAGACTATAACAATAAACTGAACACTGGTCATGATTACATGTGGCTATAGACAAAAAGTCTTCAGTAAATACTTTTATGTTCATTGTGCCCTGCGTTCTTTTAAAATCTCAGGTGAAGCCCCAGGGGTTTGGCTCAGTGGTGCCTCTGCCTGCCTTGCAAGCACAAGGGCTGGAGTTGAACCTCCGGTACAAAAACAAAAAACAAAAAACAAAACTAAACTAAAATCTCAGGTGCAGGGAAACTTAAGTTAGAATACTGGATCAATGTTTCTGCAGCTGAGGGCTGGATGGGTAAAAGAGAACAATCATTGTTTATTATTGGATCAAACTAACACAATTCTTGTTAAGAGTAAGAAAAACCTAATAAGCAACTCTCTAAAAATGTTGCATTGATATATATTTCTATCTTACCATTTATAATTCACACATTCACTTCGCTGTCTCATTGAAATTTGTGAGATGTACTTGCTTGAATTTTTCTCATATTATATCCAAGTACTCAAAGCTTAGTGAGACACCAAGTCTAAGCCAAGGTGGCAGTCACTGACAGATGGAGTGTGTGAATGCATCTTTTCCTAAGAATGCAGCACTAATGCTTTCGATATAAAATAAAACCACTTCAGTCATCCTAGTGACATAGTTCTCAGGCATGTTGTTTTGTTTTCTTTCATTATTTTGTTTTCATATCCTATATTTTTCTCTAATTTTCTACATTAAATTCCTCACTTTCTATTTCTTCCGTGCTGATGTTATTGCAGGCTAATTCTTTCTTTATATGTTATCTCAAGGTTGTTGTTTAAGGACTAATGGTAACACAGGAAAGAAAGAAATACAAATTGTTTGTATACTTTTGTGTTTTAAACAAGATAGCTAGTAACTGAGGAACATCTCTGAGTGACTTGCCTGGGTCTTAACTCTGCATTAAGTTTTACACTTTTGTTTATTCAAAATAGTCATTGGTTCTTCCAAAGTAATAGAGAGTAGTTGTTCTCTCTCCCTATTTCCTAGTGATGCGTCCTGTAAGATGAATGAACCACTGCACCTAAACAAAGTCAGATTTGTTCATGACTTATGCTGGGTAATGAGCTCTGAGCTGCAGGGAACCCCAGTTCATCCTTGAGCATGAGGTTCAAGAATCACCTTGAGGTTCCACTGTGGCTTTTTATCCTTTCTGTCAGAAAACATTATCCCATGTAAAGTGTGACCTAGGACGTTAAAGAGAAAAAGAATCTTGGATCAGAGTGGCAAGCAACCAACATCAGTACACATAGTGAGTGTGAGCTCTGTGATGCCAAGCTAGTGGGATTTGAAAGTTCTTTGTTGCAATAGCAAAATCTAGCAC